CCCATCCCCATTCCCATCCCACCCCTCTCACCGCGGATCACCGAGATGTTCCGGAGCGCTGCGGAATGTTCCCAATCCCTCATCTGCAGCTCGCGGGTGGCGTTGGTGAGCAGGGCCAGCTCCATGCGCAGCTCCCGCTCCGAGGCCGCCTGCTCCTCACGCAGCCGGAGCCGCTCCGCGGTGCCGTTCCCCAGGAGCTCCCGCAGCTCCCGCAGCCTCCGGCGCTGCTCCAGGGAATCCTCGGAGAAGCTGCGGTTCATGAACCGCGCGGCCTCGCCCAACGCYGCCATCTGCTCGCCCAGAACCTCCAGGCGCCCGCCCAGCCGGCCCAGCAGGAGCTCATGGTGCTCCAGGATCACCCGGCTGCTGTTCCCGTCCGTGGAGAGCCGCGACAGCTCCAGCCGGGCCGCGGAGTGCTGCTGGCTCAGGGAATCGCGGAGGATGGACAGCGAGYGCTCCGTCCGGCCGGCCTGGCTGCGGACGCTGCCCAGGAGCTCCTCCAGCCGCTGCAGCGATCCCGCCAGCAGCAGCAGCGACTCCGAGTGGTTCCGCAGGAGCTCCTGGAGCCGCCGGATGAGCTCCGGGAGGTTCCCGTCGGGAAGCGGCTGCAGCTCCCGGAGGGTCTCGTTGAGCCGCCGGACCTTTCCCAGCAGCTCCTGCAGCTCCTCGGGAGACGCTCGGGGCTGGGACACTGCAAGGGGAGAGGGAGGGCGGGAAGAGCCCTGGGATGGGGAACTGGGATGTGGGATAAGGCTCTGACCCCACTGAGGGAGCTGGGATATCCCTGGATCCTCGGTGCCGGGAGGTGAAATTCCCACCCCGACCCCAAAAGGTTCAGCCCCGCCTGGAATCCAAGGCTGGAGAATCCTGGAATGGTTTGGGTGAGAAATGGATAATCCCGTTCCAGCCCTGCACGTTCCCCTATTCCGGGGGGATCCAAATCCATCCTGGGAAATTTCTGGGATCCAGGGGCAGTTTCCCTGGGAATTCCTTCCCAAGATCCCAATAAATCCCCCCTTTCCCAGGGAATTCCCTCCATTCCCGGCTCTTCCAGCCCCAGATCCGATCCATCCCCACCCCGACTCCTCCCTGCCAAGGAATTTCGGGATCCAGGCCCTTCCCTGGCAATCTCGGCACTCCAGGAAGGGTCTCCCTTCCCTTTTCCATCCCCGACTTCCATCCCAATCCCTCGCCATGGATTTGGAGCGTCCTCCATCCCACAATCCCGCCATGGTTGGGATGGGATTCCTGGAGCTTCCATCCCATCCCATTGCAGCCCCGACACATCCCCTGATCCCGGGGAGATCCCAAATCCATCCAGGGATTCCCTGGGAATTCCAGCGCAAGATCCCAATAAATTCCCCCTTTCCCAGTGGAATCCATTCCCGCTGTCCCATCCCTCCATCCCTTATCCCAAATCCCCCTCCAGCTCTCCTGGAGCTCCTTTAGGATTGGGAAGGGGCTCTGAGCATTCCCTGGATCCCGGAATCCCATGGAGCTGCATCCCACAGGATTTGCCTGCTGGGAACCGAACCCCAGCCCAGACCAATCCCAGCAACTCCAGGGAATCCCAAACTGGTTTGGGTGGGACGGGACCTCAAATCCCACCCCATTCCAACCCTGACTCCTACCCCTACCCAAGGCTGCTCCAATCCCATCCCATCCCATCCCATCCCATCCCATCCCATCCCATCCCATCCCATCCCATCCCATCCCATCCCATCCCATCCCATCC